GCTGGCATCACAGATGATAATATTTCAGCCCCCAAGCCCCCACCGTCTCTCAGCTGTATGCTAAGCAGCTCTGCAAGGCCCACAGCCAGGAGCAGAACTGCCTTATTTTTGGCAACTGGATAAAGCAAAGGGCTTTGGAGAGAGCACTGGGGTCTGGAATCAAGTGGGGACACCAGTGGCCCTGTCTCAGGCCAGCGCCCGTGACTCCGTGTGTGAGCAGCGAGAAGCCTTGCCGCTCAGTCCCCGAGGGGGTGGCTGCCCTGTCTGCCCACTTGGGCTCGCCGGCCTCCCCTCTCGGGCCCTCATCCCCAGGCAGGGCCTCGCTGAGGGGACCCAGCCTCCTCACAGCTGCCCTGCACCCCAGCGAGACACAAACAACACCCTCTTTTGAGTGAAACAACTGACCACCCAGGCTTGCCAAAATGAGGACAGGCTCTGAAAGGGGGCAGTTTTATTCCAAGGGTCTAATGGGATCGAGGAGAGGGAATAAAAAGTTTCAGCTATTAAAAAAAAAAAAAAAAAGGCAATACACTGGCTTCTTCCAAATAAACAAACCATCCTTTGAACAAGAGAACGGCCTCCTAATGGGGTCAGACTGGAGCTGGATCATGAAGGAGTCACGTGTCCCGGGCCCTCCCTGCTCTCTGCTCCCCTAATACACTGGCTTCTTCCAAATAAACAAACCATCCTTTGAACAAGAGAACGGCCTCCTAATGGGGTCAGACTGGAGCTGGATCATGAAGGAGTCATGTGTCCCGGGCCCTCCCCACTCTCTGCTCCCCGATTCTCCCTCTGCTGTTTTGGGGGAGCCCAGGGCTCTTCCGCTGGGGCCCAGCCAAGGAATGAGCCAAGCTCATCCGACATGGGCCCTTCTCAGGACACAGTGATTTACGTGTGGAATGGGGGTCCCTGCGAATCTCTGAGGGTAGAATTCCAGGCAGGGAATTTCCCCAGAATCTCTCATATCATAAAGGCCCTTCAAAAATGCAAGACTTATCTCCATTACCAGCTTTCAAAATTTTATGGGCTTAAAAAAAAAGCTGAAGCTCCAATAGTTTGGCCACCTGATGTAAAGAGCTGACTCATTGGAAAATATTCTGATGCTGGGAAACATTGAAGGCAGGGGGAGAAGGGGGCAACAGGGGATGACATGGTTGGATGGCATCTTGACTCAATGGACATAAGTTCGAGCAAACTCCGGGAGACAGTGAAGGTCAGGGAAGCCTGATGTGCTGCAGTCCATGGGGTCACAAAGAGTCAGACCCAACTTAGCCACTGAACAACAACAACTAATTCAGCCACTCTTCTGAATACCAGGGACAGAGATGGAACTCTGATCTTATCTTGTTCTCAAAGATCTTACTGGCTGTTGGGAGGAGAGGACAAATGTGAAGGTATTATATCACCCAGAGAAATGACATAACCAGCAGTTGGTGGGAGCAGTGAAGAATATTAGAACATCCATGTACAGTTGTGTAGGTTGTGCACTGCACAACTGTAAGGTCTCTCTCCCACAGACCCTATTTTCAATCAAATCCCCTGGAAACTTTGAGTGTGAGGATGCTTGTGAGACTTCAGAACAAGAACCGAAGCTTCAGACAGATATAAGTCTAGAACAGGAGGGAGGAGTCCTGACTCCCAGAAAAAGGGAGAGAATTGCTGAGGGTGTTTGTGGGCTTGTGAGATGATGCAACCCCTGCTGGGAGGCAGGCTCAGCTTTCTAGAGGAGATTCAGGAGAAAGAATCACTGATTAAGGTGTGTATAGTTTGTGACAGGGCTTAATCTCCAAAATATACAAACACTTCATACAACTGAACAACAGAAAAACAAACAACCAAATAGAAAAATGAGCAGAAGACCTAAATAGACATTTCTCCACAGAAGAAATACAAAAGGCCAATAGGCACATGAAAAGATGCACAATATTAATAATTATTGGGGGTGGTGGTTTAGTTGCTAAGTTGAGTCCAATTCTTTGTGGTCCCATGGACTATAGCCCACCAGGCTCCTCTGTCCATGGGATTTCCCAGGAAAGAACACTGGAGTGGGTTGTCATTTCCTTCTCCAAGAGATCTTCCCAACCCAGGGATCAAACCCAGGTCTCCTGAATTGCAGGTGGATTCTTTACTGACTGAGCCACCGGGGAATCACTAGTTATTAGAGAATTGCAAATCAAAACTACAATGAGGTACCACGTCACATCAGTCAGAATGGCCATCATTAAAAAGTCTACAAATAACAGATGCTGGAGAGGGTGTGGAGAAAAGGGAACCATTCTAGTATTGGTGGGAATGTTGTTTGGTAAGTTGGTGCATCCACAATGGAAGACACTATGGAGGTTTCTCAGAAAACTAAAAAGAGCATTATCATATGATTCAGCAATCCCACTCCTGAGCATATATTCAGACAAAACTCTAATCCAAAAAAGATACATGCACCCCTCTGTTCATAGCAGCACTATTCACAATAGCCAAAACATGGATACAACCTGAATGTGGATCGACAGAGAAATAGATAAAGAAGATGTGATAATAGAATACTACTCAGCCATAAGAAGAATGAAATAATGCCATTTGGTGCAACATGGCTAGAACTAGAGATTACGAAACTAAGTGAAGTCAGTCAGAAAGAGAAAGACAAATACCATATGATAACCACTTATGTGTTATTTAAAATTTGACACAAATGAACCTATCTGTGAAAGAGAAACAGACTCACAGACATAGAGAACAAACTTGTAGTTGCCAAAAGGGAAGGAGGTGGGGGAGGGATGGAATGGGAGGTTAGCAGATGTAAGCTATTATATATAGAGAGGATAAACAACAAGGTCCTACTGTATGGTACAGAGAACTATATTCAGTATCCAATGATAAACCACAGGGGAAAAGAATATCAAAAAAGAATGTATATATATATATATGTGTGTGTAATGAATCACTTTGCTATACAGCAGAAATTAACACAACATTGTAAATCAACTATACTTCAAAAAAAAAAAAAAAGGTGGGCATGATTTGGAGCTATTCATTTTACTTCTCAATTCAAAGTTATAACAGCGACTCACAGGGCCTTATATGGTGCGTGGTCTCTAAGACTTACCTCTCCAAATTCACCTCCTGCCGCTTCCCTGCCCCCACCTCTCACTCTATACTAGCCACCCCCCTCTTCCCTGCTGATTTCTGAATGACACACACAAGTGCCCACTCCAAGCTTTCGCTCCAGTTCCCCTCTCTACTTGGGGCGGCGTTCTCCCAGCCAACTGCGGGGTCAACTCTATCTCTCATTCTAATCACTGCTGACATGTCAGATCCAATGCCTCCCCTGATCTGCTTATTAACATCGCAGCCGATTCCCTGCCCACCACCACCCTCTGTCCACATGATGGATCCCTGGGACTGCCCCTTCACTTTCCCTGATCACTTTTCACCTTCTGGTAGACTATGAATTTACTTCTTACCTACATTAATGTTTGAAGAGTAGGATTCATAAAACTTGTTTTCAAATCTTTGGTTTTTTGGCATAAGACTATGATGGACTCAAGTGATAGAGACTAACTTGGTTCTCACTAGTATCGGATTGAACCAGAAACTTTGCAAGATATTTTGATTACAAGGAATATGCTCTATGTTTTCAAAAAACATAACAGGCTAATCGGGTCCAATACAAATAAAGACATTATTCCTCTAGTTAAGTGGTTCTATACTCTGAATATGTACTAATCATTATAAAAACTATGTGCTTGTCATAATAAAAAATATAGAGCCATATTCATAACATATAAAGGAAAAGATAAGAAGAGTTTTTGCCATCATAATGGAAAGAGAAAAAAAGTAAAAGCTACTTTAAAAATATATCATCAGAATACTTTCCTGAAGCATTAGGTAGTTGAAAAAATGCTGAATGGCCAATAAAAAGCCTTTGTTTCTAGTCTCGGCCCATCTATAACTAGCTGTGTAGCATTCGATAAGACTTCTGTGCATCTCAGTTTTCTCAACTCTAACTGCAGATTTTAAGACTTGAAAGTGATATTGTTGAAAAATGCTCCATCCTCCAATCACATACTGTCCTTATGCCTTTTAAAATCAAATGAGGAAAGAGAACTTGTGCTGGAACTGTAACTAACACTACTCCTCTTTAGCTCAAGGATGCTTCTGTGCACACACCAGTGGTGGGCATGGCCTCTGTGTTGCAGGCCAGCAGTGGAGGCAGATTTGCACTGAGCCATCCACACATTCTTCTCTCTTTTCTGGGCCTGAGAGCCCAGGATGATCCGAGTGAACCCAAGAGGCTCCTGCAGACACAGAGGCTAGGGTTTCAACCTCTTTAACACCAGGCTCTAAGCCCTCAGCAAGCATTTGTCAATCTAAGTCACAAACTAGTGGGAAACACATCTTTTATTCTGGAGCTGACGATAAGATGCACTACTTTCATCTGTTACCAACTCCAAGCTGTGGAAGCAACTCTTGCTATCAAAATCAACATCCCTTTGACATTGAGGGTCCCAAAATAAGGTCCAGAAAAACCAACAAATTTCACTGAGATGCCTGATTCTCTTGCGCTGTGGTGGAAAGAACCTTGGACTTGGAGTAAGAGGACCTGGAAACAGTCAGTCATGGTTGTGCTCACATTCTTTTGGAATCTTAGGGTCCTCATCTCAAAGTACCCCTCCCTCATGGAGTTGTCGTGGGATGAGGTGTGAGTAAGTACTCTGTGACCTTTTAAGAGAAATCCCCAAATGTACCAAAACAATAGTGCTGGTCAGGATTCCCTGGGAAAGACTGTTTCTTCTCCAGGACCTGAAATTAACACTAAAGAAAAACTGAGGAAAACACGATTAGAAAGTCATTTGAGAAAATGTTTGGATCTGAATGATCTGGAAAATTAATTTTTCACTGGCAAAAACCTGCTTCCTGAAGTGGTGCCCTCATCACATGGAGCTCAAGGACCAGATGACCCCGACGGGGGTGGGGGACCACATATTTGAGGCAACAAGACTCACCAGGTAGCGCTCCTCCTGCCTCATGCTGGGGGTGCGAATCATGTGATTCTGTTCTCCTCGCCAGTCTCCAAACCGACGGAAAAAATAGTTGGATAAAAACCGGTTGACGGGATCTCTGATGATGTTGATGTAGACAGGCTGGTCTCCTCCAAACCTAAGATGCACACAAACATGGAGCTGGTCATAAACCATCCTTTCTGAAGGAAAATCAAGCCCACGTACACACTGGTTCCCCTCTAGGTAAACTCAACATCACCAGAGGACCCCGTCTGTTCAGTCGCTAAGTCGTGTCCAGCTCTTTGCAACCCCATGAACTGCAGCCCGCCAGGCTCCTCTGTCCAAGAATATTGGAGTGGATTGCCATTTCCTCCTCCACGGGATCTTCCTGACGCAAGGATCAAACCAGCATCTCCTGCACTGGCAGGTGGACTCTTTACAGGGAAGCCACTGCACAGGTACCAGTGAACAATCAAACCAGCAGGCAGTGTTTCCTAGTGGAAACACTTATTATCCTGCGGGATATTCCAGGAGCCTATTGAGAGGCTGTGAAGACTGTTTGGGAGTCAGCACTGCGCAAAATGCAGGAACCGTCACTGTGAAGGTATAGATACGACCTCGTTTTCTCACAAGGCTGGAGGTCCCCAGGGAGGGGCCACACTGAACTAGGTTTTGTATCTATTACCAGGGTCTGGAACAGACCCACTGACCCTCATGGAATGTTTTGACTGCCTGGTAAATTTTGAATGCCTCACTGGAGGATATGGTACTTATTCTACATTCTAATTAGAACAGTCTCAGGTTAGGGGCTCTGCAGGAAGTGGAGAATAACAGCCAAGATATATTAAATGCTCCCTGTTCACCTTGCTGTAAATATTTTGTAACCAACTCACTGAAGCCTCATAACCCCTCATGTGTACGTGCTAAGTCACTTCAGTTGTGCCCAGCTCTTTATGACCTTATGGACTGTAGCCCACCAGGCTCTTCTGTCCATGGGGTTCTCCAGGCAAGAATACTGGAGTGGGTTGCTGTGCCCTCCTCCAAGGGGATCTTCCTGACCTGACCTGGGGATCACGTCTAAGTTTCCTGCATTGGTAGGTTGGTTTTTTACCACTAGCGACACCTGGGAAGCCCCCATAAAACCTCAGTGGAGTAGAAATTGTAAGTATCCCCATTTATACTGGGGAAACAGAGGCAGGGAGTGCTTAACTTATGACTGAGCCAGGATATGAACCCAGGCAGTCTGGCTCCAGAATCTGTGCTCTGAACCATGGAAAGAAGATTCCAGAGCTGAGGCAAGTTACAATGTAAACAATAATGTGAGCACAACAAAAAACAATATAATTGTCCTCAAATGATGGTGAAGGGGTTTCAGATAAAAATAAAGCCAATGTCTAGCTGTTGCATTTTAATTCCTTCCACAAAGGGATTAGACAAATGCACTGGAAGCTGGTCTAAGAGCGAGGCCTTCCCCAGGCATAAGGATCAGGTAGGCTAAATTTGTCTTAAGGATTCCTCCCCCTTCTCTTTGAACTGTCTGGAAGCAATGACCCTGAAGAGCCTGGGAGAACACTCAGAGCTCCGGGCAGAGGTCTCGCTCTGGGGACCTCCTGAGGGGCCCACAGGCTTCTCTCACCCCATGACCTTCTGATGAGGACACCCAGACATTCTGTCAGGGGTCAGAAAGAACTCAGAGAAAACAAACTGACGTGACCCTGCTCCCACCTTTCCAGCCGGCAGACTCCACCTTTCAAAACGCAGCCCAGAATCACCACCACATCCTTCCCCAATGAACTCCCGTCCTTGTGTTGGTCCCATCCTCCTCTGACTCCAAGAGCTCTTTCCAGCACTGTGTGTCCGGGTCTGCCTCTCCCATCAGACTTGTGACTCCAGAAGCCAGGAACAATGTCCTTAGACACAGCATGGTACACAGTAGGCGCTCAACCAATTAAGACATGAAAGCCAGGGTGGGTGCATCTCAGTTCATAAATTTCAGCCACTATTACAGCATCCGAGTGGTGCTGGTGGTAAAGAACTCGTCTACCAATGCAGGAGACATAAGAGATGCTGGTTCAATCCCTGGGTCAGGAAGATCCCCCAGAGGAGGGCATGGCAACACACTCCAGTATTCTTGCCTAGAGAATCCCATGGACATAACAGCCTGGTGGGCTACGGTCTACAGGGTTGCAAAGTTGGACATGACTAAAGAGACCTAGCACATGCACACACACGCACATGTGTGTAAAGGAAAGTAGACATAACGAGTCACAGATCCTATTTATTTCGTGTATTAATTTATTAATTGTGTGTGCGTGTGTGTTTGCATTTTTAAAGAAAATCTTCAGAGAGAAGAATCCAAAGTCAGACGAAGCTATGACTCTGATGGTGTGATTTCAGGCACCAGGCGTGTGAATGCCATTCCAGACCCTTGAATACATCACACTGGAAAACATACTGTTCAGGAGCAGGGTTAGCCAGGCCAACACGACTCTTGTCAGCTTCCAGACGTACCCAAGGTGACATTCACACAGCCGAGTGAACAACTAACTATTTCCAGAAGTCAGCTGTGCCAACCACGGATAACCACAAGCACCCTGGATGTATCTGCCTCTTTTTAATTAAACTGGGTTTCATATCCATGACAAACAGCAACCAAAGTAAGTAGGGTTAGGGATTAGAAGGACAAAGCATGCAGATGGTGAATGCAACTCAACCCTCAAACTGCAACGTGCTTTTAAAAAAGGTTATTTCTGGGCAGCTAACTTCATCAAAAAATGAAGAGTATCCAAGGCTAATGGGCGAGGCTTTGATCCCTGTCGGTGAGTGAGGAAGGAGAGGCTTTGAAGTGAGAGAAAGGCCATCATGGAAAAGGTTGTGGTTGTTTGGGGGGCAGGGTGAGGGGCTGCCTGCGAGAGGAGGAGGGGGAGGTGGTTAGTTAATGGCCCTTTGCTGGAACAAGTGGAAGGGTCTCCCTCCATCCTCACAACTTCACTCAGTGGACACTGCGGTCCTTGGCGAACATGACAGAACCTGCCATCATACAACGCAAGCAGACGCTGAGCCACTCAGCGCTCCCTGCGGTAAGAGAGGCGGGAACTTCCGGTAAGAGAGGCGGGAACTTCCGGCAAGCCGTGGAGGGGGTGGNCGTGGAGACAAGCGGGTGGGGGTGGGGCACCTGAGGTCAGCTTCCTGCTGGGAAAGGAAAGACGACCTGAGGAGACAGGAAGCAAGGAGATGACGAGGAGGAAGGCCCTTTGAGGAGGGCAGTGAGGTGGGCTCAAGGCAAGTCCAGAGTATACGAATCCTTCATGGGCCGGCCAGGTGTGTGGGCTCATGGGGCCCACAGAAAGTCCACTCACTGTGGAGGTAAAAAAGGAGACAGTGCCATTTTCAGAAGATGAGCCCGGCCTTGTCTACACAGGATAAACTCACAGAACACTCTCATTTTGAAAATTGAACTTTCAGGCTGTGTCTAAGTGGGTAAAGACCGAATTCAGCAAGTGCTAACGTGGGTTCTGTTTGATGCCCTCTTCAAAGATGGAGGCATCTGTCACCATTACAAAAGAGTTGAAGGACACAATTAAAATGGATGACTTTGCTAATGAGAGTGAAAACAAAGTCCACATTTAGAAATAAAACGTGGAAACCCATTTGAATTATGGAATTATTAGCAAGATCAGATTTGTTTTGTTAAAGGATGCCATCAGGAAGCAGACCTTGTTCACACTGGTAACCAGGACCTCCCTTCAAGGGAAGAACCATGTCCAAAACTCACATGGTGTCCTTGGATGCACCCTGCCTGCTTCTCTAGCGATTGATTGATTTTTAAACGTTTTGCTTTCTCAGGTTAGTGCTGGCATTGGTGCCACCTTCAGAGACACACGAGGAAAGAGAAACGGATGCAAAGATGGGTGAGGGGGTCATGGGTGAGAAAGGAAGAGACAAAAAACAGGGTTAAGAGAAATGGTACTTTGAGGTCAGATAATCTCACCATTCACTTGGACTATTTTCATAGTACTGCACTCTGACACAAGCCTTCACAGTGTTTTCCCTGTAAGACCCAAGTTGAGGGTCAAGGGAAACTGTAGATTGGAAAAAGAATTACTTCCCCCACCAAAAAAAAAAAAAAAAAAAATCTTAGAAAAAAAGGAAATGTGGGGGCAGAAACAGGGAAGATGAATTGTCTGTCACAGTCTTGATGATCTAAGACATACTTGAAGAGATGGTCTTGGGAAGTTGAACTTTTTCAAAAATTCTAATTCTTTAGTTGACTCTGACAACTGCGAACAGGTTCATGAAACCAGAGTACACAAATATTGAGTGATGTACTTAAAACATCACAACAAAATAGCATCTTTTGGTCAAAGTAATTTTGATTCGGTTCTCTAGGTAGGCCAGGTGAAAAATATTTGTCTGGCCTGAACTTTCAGATGGCTTAAAAACTGAAAGAGTGGTGCACATCTTCAGCAATACAAACTGATTTGAGGTTTCTGCTGACATTGTAGTGTTTATCTCCTCTGGTAGGAAGTCTTCCCTGAGGCAACTACAAAAGTACCAGTTTGGTCTGATAGTATTGTTTTCCACACTTGAATTGATAAAAATGGGTATGGTGAAACTGTTCCATCTAGGTCCCAGGAGGCTCAGCGGTACAGAATCCGCCTGCTAATGCAGGAGACTCCAGAGACTTGAGTTCAGTCCCTGAGCTGGGAAGATCCCCTGGGGAAGGAAATAGCAACCCACTCCANTTTCTCCTAAAACTCATCATACTGTACGCCTCTCCTTCCTTAATGGAAGAAACTTTCAGTTCCCTGAATGCAAGGACAACATTTCTTTTCTTTTCTATATTTTTAATACTTATTTATCTGTTTGGTTGTGCTGGGTCTTAGTTGCTGCACTCGAACTCTTGGGGCTTCCCTGGTCACTCAGCAGTAAGGAATCCACCCGCCAATGCAGGAGACGCAAGTTCAATCCCTGGGTCAGGAAGATCCCCTGGAGAAGGAAATGGCAACCCACTCCAGAATTCATGCCTGGAGAATTCCATGGACAGAGGAGCCTGGCTAGCTACAATCCATGGGATCGCAGAGTTGGACATGGCCTACGACTAAACCACCACCAGGGGAACTCTTAGTTGCAGCATGTGGGATCGTGTTCCCTGACCAGGGATCGAACCCTAGCTTCCTGCATTGGGAGCGTGGCATCTCAGCCACTGGACTATCAGGGAAGTCCCAAGAACAACATTTCTTGTTCCCTGTAGAAGCCCCTGTCTTAGTGCAGGTCCTCAATATGTATGTATTTAATTGAACACAGTGGGATAGAGGGAGGAGAAATCAGCCAGAGCAGGGCCCTGACCTGAAAGTGTTACATTAGAGATACGGTGAGGCTGCCTCCAAGTGGTGCAGTGGAAAAGAATCCACCTGCCAATGTAAGAAGACACAAGAGATGTGGGTTCGATCTCTGGGTCAGGAAGATCCCCTGGAGCAGGAAATGGCAGCCCATTCTATTCTTGCCTAGAGAATCCCATGGACAGGAGTCTGGTGGGCTACAGTCTATGGTGTTGCAAAGAGTTGGATGCAACTGAGCAAGAGGCTGCATCTGGACAGGAGCCAAACTGGGGGTTCAGACTGGGGCTTATACAGAAATGTTTTTAAATGTCACTTTGAATACACACGACACCCTTCTCTCCAAGAACTTGAAGGGCTTTCCATCATGGGTTTTGAGCATCCCAACAAACCAGGGGTGGGTGGGAACTGTCCTTACCCTGTAGATGGGAACATGGAGATTCCCCCTTCCCACCAGAGAGACTAAGGTCAGTGGGAAGGTCTGACACCCAGAGATCCTGAAATCCATGCTGACACTTTCCCTGGGATGTGGTGTCCTCTAAAAGGTGTTTATTATTTTTCTCTTTTCTTTCAGAACTCAATCAATCAAGAATAAACTCTTGGGCTTATATTTCATAGTGGAGGCCAAGATAAAATATGGGCAACCATACTGTGCTCAGCTCTGTTGATCCAATTAAGGTATTGGCATTGGCATGTTATTTAGAGTGCTATAATGTCCTGAGTTAACTATGAAAATCTGTTGCATTGCAATTTGTTTTGGTTGTAAAAATTTTCCCTAGAAGCAAAAGGAGTAAATGAGTGAGGTTTGACAAACCTATGGTTAACGGAGTATGGGGGGGATAAACTGAGTGACTGGGATTGACGTATGCACACTACTATATATAAAATAGATAACTAATAAGGACCTAACTAATAGCATAGTTAGAGCATAGGAAATTCTACTCAATACTCTGTCATGGCCTACATGGGAAAAGAATCTAAAAAGAGTGGGTATATGTATAAACTGATTCACTTTGCCGTCCAGCAGGAATTAACACAGCACTGTAAATCAACTATAGTCCACTAAAAATTTTAAAAAGAGGAAGAAAGAATAATGAATGAGGTTTGAGGACATCAAGGGTGATGCAGAGAGAAGGAAGGAAGGAAGTGCATGAGAGAATGGAGGGGTCAGAGGGGCCAGGCTCTGCTGTCTACAAGTCGTAAAACACATGGCCCAAAATAGCTACCCAGTCCTCCTTATCTAATTATGTCTAATTATATGTTCTTGGCCCCAGGGAAGTGGAAGACAGGCACATATCCCGGACAGTGCAGTGACAAGCCACTTTAGAAATGTGGTTGGAGACACAGCTCTTGTAGACGCGGTACACACCCCCTCACCCCTCATTCCAGCCACTGAGGATAATCCAGGATAATCCGCAGGTGTCCTCCTCCTCACCTGTTCACCAGCCCAGAGAACTCTGGCTATCAGAGAGGCTGGGGAACTTCAGGGGAGACTTGCTTTCAAAGATAAGGCAACAATTCCTCTTTGCTGCTTAGTAACTTGCTTCGCTGAATCTCAAGTCTCTTTACACTTCATTTGCACAAGGCCCACTGCACAGTAGGAAAGTGCTTTGAAGGCTACACTCCTCTCCCAGCCCTGCAGACTGTTAGGCTTCCTGGGATGCAAACTCAGGCCTCCCTGGTTGCTGGCCCTCAGGGCCACGAGGTCAGCACAGACAGGATTCTCCTGTGAGCCTGTGAGGTCCTGTTATCCCCATGGGAAAAGCAGTGAGCAAAGGGCTGGTCAGATGGCTGATGGGGGAGGCCCAGGGTCTGGGGCTAGTCAGCAGATTGGCCCGGGACTTAGAGCTCTGTCAACCCCAACTGTGAGCTCAGACGGGCCCGCCTTAGAGGAGGAATCTGAGAGCTACAGTAAAGTACAATGACAAGATGACTTGTGCTAAGGGATCCCTGGGGAAGAGAATGCCCAGAATGTGCAGTTAGCAATTTAACAGAGGATCTAAACACATAAATTTGAGGTTTGCATTATTGTCAAAAGGTCCTTGTAGGTGAAGGTGAAAAAAGCACAGATTTCTAAAATACCCACCAACATCAACCATGCAAGGTTTAGAGAAATGAAATGGAGTGTTACAAAGGTAGAGAAAGAGGCTGGTCCTAGCTTTGTGATGGCTCATTGGGTAAAGAATTTGCCTGCAATGCAGGAGATACAGGAGACATGGGCTCAATCCTGAAGTCAGGAAGATCCCTTGGAGGAGGAAATGGCAACCTAGTATGCTTGCCTGAAAAATCCCATGGACAGAGGAGCCTGGCAGGCTACAGTCCCTGGGGTCATAAAGAGTCAGACACGACTTAGCGACTGTTAGGTAGTGAGAATAGGAAAAAGGAGTCCAGAATGGCGGTGGCTAAAAGACAAGGAAGGGAAAAGCCCTCGAAAATAGAACAAAGGAAGGTCAGAGGAAGGTCCGAGGATCAGAGCGAGGACCTCAGGTAGAACAAACAGCACTCCTGGCTAGCCCAATTTACATGGGCAGGCCCAGGGGGAGGAAAAACATTTACGAGAGGAGCGAAAGCGCGCGCTCTCTCTCCTGCACGACGGGGTGCGCTCCTCTTCGCGTCTTTGGGTAGACATGCCCGCACGGCTTGAGGATGGATTTTCCTGCTATTACCTAAATAAAATAGAGCTGTAACATGGAGCTGTAACACTGATTTGTCTAAGAGCTGTAACACGGTCTGCCCGAGACCCGAGAGCTGTGACACGCTGAGGGCTTTAATGTCCGTCACTCCAAATCTTTGTTGTGACGAGACAGAACCGAGGAGAATACACTCGCCTGAGTGACTAAACATACGTGCAGCACACATAAAATACACATAATTCCACCTCTAAATTATTCAGAGTCCTGTGTGGGTGCAGGTTGTATAAAAATGTGCAATGAAATATATCTGCTAAAATATCCATCTCTTGTCTATTTTGTTCCAATACAAAACATTTTTATTTTTAGAGAATTATAAGGTCAAGTGACTTCTCATTAAAAATAATTTCAAGTTTTCACAAGACTTAAGAGTAGTATTTTTAGAAAGAAATGAAGCTTTTGACCAAATATTTCAAATTTTGATCCCTCTACTGCAAAAATAAATGGATTAAAAATGTCTTTTGAAGGGCAATTACACTGCCTTGGAAAAGAAGGTAGATTTTAAAGTAATTGTTTGTTAGAAGGAGACTAAGTACTCAAAAGAAATCAAAGAACCATTAAACTGGAAAATATCTTACCTTGAGAAGTTGAGGAAATGAACATGTCGGGTGAATAAATAGGGCTGTTCGGCAGTACTTATATTTTTAATCAGTTCCATCTATTAAAAAAAAGTACAAAATTAGCATATATAGGATTTAATTTACCAAGCTATATTAAGCTAAAGGTTATCTCCCCAACTCTTTTTTTCCTTCCTTACTACTTCTTGAACCAGGGCTAAACAGCTGTGTTTTGTGCAACATTTATGAACTTCACATAAGGCTCCTTACTAAACAAAATAAAGAAGCTCTCACAATGTGTAGTCCTGAATTTAATTTAGTTAATTGCCATCATGAAAACAAAGTGTCAGTTTAAGTAATTTTAACTGGAGAAGTCAGTGTGTTGCTGTCCTGAAATGCAAGTAAGAAAATGCATTTAATCCTCTCTTTAAAGTCAAATCAAGACAAAGGTTAATTATTAGTTTACATTTCTATAATGCTCTTACTGGGAAAAACAGAAGCATTTGAAACTAGTTCTGCAGAATCGAAAAGTAGAAATAAAATGAGGCACTATCTCATTATTTTTCCCTTTGATTATAAAATTTACAAAGCAAGTATTTCAGAGGGAACACATAACACCCCCACACTCCCCAAAAAAATGTTCTCAGGTTTTGGTGGGTGGTCATCTGAATTATTTATTTGCAGTTATCAGCAAGGCAAAAAGTAGTTTTAATTTGTATAAACTAACATTTACACTCTTCTGGAACATGTCATGATACAGAAAACGTTTAGTAAAATCTGTTAGAAATTCCAAGCATTCTTACGACTCCCTGACTTCCTGAATTCCACTTTCCTTAGATTTTCTTATTTGCCCCATCAAAGCTGACACTCTGGAATTTTTAAGAAGCACATTGAAATTTGCTGCTTTGGACAGACATCAGAGGGGCAGCACTTCATATTTTATGAAATAGCTCAAGTTGAAAACTGGAAACAAAAACGGTTATTCATGTGTTAACTATAGTAGCAACCACAATAAAATCGGAGTCTGGAACTCTAGGTTTGTCTCAAGCGTGACGGAAACCTGGCCTGCCTTGTTCCCTGCTGTCTAGCTGGGAGCTGACACACGGAAATGCTCCATAAATATTTGTTAAATGAATTAATTCCAATGAGTCCACGACTTACAGATGGTTACACTAGGACGTCGTGGCCTAAACCCTTTCGTTAGATATTCGTGCTCACAACGACTGTCTGAAGAAATGAAATTGAGTTTTAAAAGCAGATGACTTGCAGTTCATAACCCAGGGCTTCTGTTCATCAGTGGCAGGCATGGGTGAATAATGGTCTGCCTGTCCCCAAGCTTGCGTGTAAAAGGAAATTGAATCCTGCCTCTTTATCTTCTGTTTATTCTTTACAAGCCCCCTGCATGCCCCAGCGCTTGTTTTTGGTTAATAAAACTTCCAGCTACCTTCACATTATGAATTTTGATTTTTGATAGATCTACCAGCAGAATTACTGATTTGGGAACACAGCTGAAGGTAACTGATCGCTGAGGTTGTCTGCTTAGAAGCATAACTGTGTGTGTGTTTAAAATAGTGACCATTCAATGCCTTAATCTTTAGATTATTTTTCTTCAGCTATTTCTCTGTACACATAAGAGTAATATGAGAAAGCCCCCTAGGATTACACAAGACTGGAAAAATGGGTCAGAAGAAAACCTGTTTCCTTCACATATTCAACATTATATTACATTCTCTAAACACATGTCAGTGTGTTAAATTTAAGGAAAGAACAGTAGAGGTTAGATTTTGAGAACAGTGTCATAATAGTCATAAAGCTGTCTATTTCATGAGGAAAAATGGATTAGTGATGACAATGCATAACTCTTTCTAGACATCTCTTTAAATAGAGAATAAAAGTTACTAATGCTTGCCTTTATCACATTAGTACAGGGTAGTCAGACTGTACATCTTAGCTTTCATGAATTTTGTCCTGCACCCGAAATAGAAAAACCCACATGAAGTACCACAATCTTCAGTCTACGGCATCGTGTTCACGGTTTGTGAAGACGGTGTCATTTGACCGTCTTCACAAACGCTGTGTGTGCTAAGTCGCTTCAGTCGTGTCTGACTCTTTGCGACCCTATGGACTGTAGCTCACTAGGCTCCTCTGTCCACGGGATTCTCCAGGCAAAAATACTGTGGTGGGTTGCCATGCCCTCCTCCAGGAGATCCTCCCAACCCAGGGATCAAACCCACATCTCTGAGATCTCCTGCATTGACCGGCGGGTTCTTTACCACTAGTGCCACCTGGGGAGCCCTCATAAATGCTAACCTTCCCCATTTCGAGTGACAAGGAACCGTCTTCTGAGCCCCTGCTGCCCATCACCTGAGTCCCCCCATTGCTGCCAGCAGCCTACCTTTCTCTCACCGTGGTCTTATCTGCGTGAGTGTCAAAGATACTACTTAAAATGATCACAGACACTGACTCTGCTTTGCCTTGGCTCGGGCAGGACCAATGCTAGTCTTTATTTTGATTCCACTGAGTTCATTCATTCATTCAGCATTTATTGGGTGCTTACCAAGCCCTGGAGATCAAAACCTGAATGAAATAACGGGAGGACACAGAAAGACAAGACAGTGGAATGTGTCCTAATGGTGTCCCTAAATCTACGCTGGCCAAAACCACACTCTTGATCCTCATCCATCTTTACTCCTTTCCAGTTGATGGTTCTCTCCATATCCTCACATTTGATTTGGGTCTTTCCTGGACTCCCATATTCAATCCCTTGCTGAGTCAAGTTAATTTTATCTTTACTATCTCCCTCAATTGACTCTCAAGATCCCACATCCTATAGCCAGTCAAACTAGACTCCTCCATATTCCTTCCATACACCATGTTCAAGACTGACCATGTCCAAACTTAAGCTAAAGATTCTTCTTCTAGAATGTTCTTCCTCTTCTCTCTGCATGTCCACATTCTAATCACTCTTTACAACTAGCTAAAATGCTTGCCGCCTCCAGGTAGCCTTTCTGAAGTTCTCCTTTCGTTCAACAATCTTTGATTTTCAACTATGTCAGGCTATGTGCCACTCTGGATTGTGGCTTTAAAGATAAAATATTTGGTTCTTGCTCTTCAGGAAGCTCAGAGACTTATGGAAGAAGTGAATGAACAGGCGGGTATCATCATGTGATAATGATCATGGGGTAGAAAGCATGGAGGTGAGATGCCTGTCCCAACCTGCAGATGGACAGGTAATGCTTCTGTAAGGAGGTGCTTCTCAGTGATTTCCAAGGATACACAGGAGTCAATAAGAGAAGAAAGGGACTCACAGCATGGCAGAAAGAGTGAACAGCAGATGCAAAGACAAAACACAAAAATGACTTGGCTATTAAAACTGCCAGGCAGTCAGGCACGGAATCAGCAAGGCAATAGCCAAGACTAGAGAAGGAGGTAGGAACTGGGTAACTGAGGGTCTTGCAGGTCTCATGAAAGATTTCAACATTTATCCTCTGGGCAATCCACAGCCAGAAAGGACTTTTTTTTCTTCTCTCAGATCTAAGGTCAGATAGAGGATGTGAAGAAGAGAGTAAGGATTAGAAGCAGAAAGTTTAGTGAGGAAAACAGCAATCTCAACAAGAAATGATGAGGTCATGGACTCATCACTTCTCAGCGTGGTTCCCACACCAGCCATGTCAGCATCACCTGGATGCCTGTTTATGTTGTTTAGTCCCTACTAAGTCACGTCTGACTCCTTTGCTACCCTATGGACTATAGTATGCCAGGCTCCTCTGTCCATGTGCTTTCCCAGGCAAGAATACTGGAGTGGGTTGTCATGCATTCCCCAGAGAATCTTTCCTGACCCAGGGATCGAACTCATGTCTTCTGCATTGGTAAGGAGATTCTTACCACCGAGACACCATGCAAGCCCAGGACATGTGTTTGATAAGAATGCAAATCCTCAGGCCTCATTCCACACCTATGGAACTAGAAGAAACTCTGGAGGTGGGGCCCATCAATCTGTGTTTTTAACAAGCATGCCAGGAGAGTCTAAAGTTCAACAGTTTCAGAACCAAGGAATGAAGTTCATGGAAGTGAAAACAGATGGAGATTTGGGTACATTAAAGAGGGAGAATGTGCTGAGCCTTGCGGCAGCTGGCAACAGAAGGAAAGGAGGGGGCATGGTCAATGGGGTTTCCTTCTTTGCCCTGGTTGGGGCCTGAACATGTGGTGTACCCATTCATGGAGATGGGAACCACTGCAGGAGGAAGCAATCTGCCTCCAGAAGGGAGGGGAAATGGGTTTGGTTTTGAACATCATTGGCTAGAGATGACATTGCCTTTATCTTCCTGCAGCACTCCGAGAATTTCCCAGGACAAGCTCCGTTTACATTACATTATAGCTGGGTTTGTGTCCTGGCTTTGTATGCATTCCCCAGAGAATCTTTCCTGACCCAGGGATCGAACTCATGTCTTCTGCATTGGTAAGGAGATTCTTACCACCGAGACACCATGCAAGCCCAGGACATGTGTTTGATAAGAATGCAAATCCTCGGGCCTCATTCCACACCTATGGAACTAGAAGAAACTCTGGAGGTGGGGCCCATCAATCTGCGTTTTTAACAAGCATGCCAGGAGAGTCTAAAGTTCAACAGTTTCAGAACCAAGGAATGAAGTTCATGGAAGTGAAAACAGATGGAGATTTGGGTACATTAAAGAGGGAGAATGTGCTGAGCCTTGCGGCAGCTGGCAACAGAAGGAAAGGAGGGGGCATGGTCAATGGGGTTTCCTTCTTTGCCCTGGTTGGGGCCTGAACATGTGGTGTACCCATTCATGGAGATGGGAACCACTGCAGGAGGAAGCAATCTGCCTCCAGAAGGGAGGGGAAATGGGTTTGGTTTTGAACATCATTGGCTAGAGATGACATTGCCTTTATCTTCCTGCAGCACTCCGAGAATTTCCCAGGACATGCTCCGTTTACATTACATTATAGCTGGGTTTGTGTCCTGGCTTTGAACCGGATTGAAAGCTCCTTGAGAGTGGTGGTCAGGTTTTATTTATTCCCCAGAAAGCCAAGCCCAGGTGCCTACATAGAACACATACCCGTAACTGTTTATGCAACAAAG